CCGACTCTAGGCAAAGTCGTCACATAAACTCGCAGGGATGATGTACTCCCTAAGCTAATAGACGAACCTTCTTGCTAAGGATTTATTTGAGAATATTTTTTTGAGATAAAAGTTCCCGCCATGCAGTAAATATATAATGATAAAGAAAGACAATAAATAAATAATTGCAATAAAGTAGATAAATTCAATAAATAAATAAATAAAGTGGATAAAAATAAACCCAAAAAAACCTAAAACCTAGGGTTAAGGAGATTCCCCAGCAGAGTCGCCAGCTGTTGCAATTGGTTTTTTAATCAAAGCCGCCACTATTAGTTTTTATCCTAGGGAAGGGAATCTAACAGAAAACCCTAATTCGCAGACAGAGATTCTAGGTTTCAGACTTCTTTAGACAAAAGGAAGATGTTAGGCACCTTTCATCTACCTTGTTCACAAGGATACTAGGTTTTAGGTTTTAGGTTTGAGTTGGGGAAACATGATTTAAATTTTATTAGGGGAAGGGTTTAAATTTTTTATAGGGGAACTCGCTACGATTTTTGATCGTATGCCTACGTATCCTCTTATGAGGAATCAGAGTCCCAATTTGTAGTTCGTATGGGGGTTGGTGTTTTTTAGGGGTTGCAAACGTATTTTGAATCACCGCGCATTTTGGTCGGGAGTAGTGATTACGGAGATTTTGACTAAATGCGCGGTGAGTCAAAATCTGTTTGAAACCCTTTTGCAAAAACACAGTTGATTAGATTAGTTAATTGTGAAAAATAGTTTGAGATTTGTTATATGTTTTTAATCATATTAATTGCAAAAATTCTTGATTAATGCATGAATAAAATATATTTTGATGCGAATATATATATAATATGTACATGAGTTTTGAATAAAAATAAATGTTTACATTATAATAATAATAAATAATAATACATATACAACAATTAATATTAATATTAATTATTATATATAAAAGAAGTAGATAATATGAAAAAGATAAATAGAAAAAATTATAAGAATTATAAAAGAAAATAATTTAAATAGTCAGGGGTGCAGTTTTAAACCAGTGAGTAAAACAGGGGCGCTACTAAGTAATTTAGACCTGTTATTCATTTTGGACAAGGGGGTGTGAATTGTTTTGGATCTTAGTAACTCAGGAATGGGGAGGTGTTGAAATTAGTGGGCTCGGCCCATTAAGCAAATTGGGAGGAGGTCAGGCTGATCGAGTGTGTGCGGGTGTATGGATATGTGATGAGACTTGGTCTTACGGTCGTCTGATGATAATCTAATGGACAAAATGAAGGGTGCATCTTAAGTTGTTATAGGCGCGCGCGTACCGAAATCGTTACTAAATATAACACGTTGTTTAACATTTTTTTACAAACCAGCTATTGTTTGACAGTGACCTTTCTCTCTTCTCCACCGTCGTGATACACCCTTCAAACCATTTCTCTCCCTCTAACCCTAGCGCCTCCAACTACCGGCGGCGGCACCAAAATCTGACCTCCCAACATACATCCCCAATACAAGAATAAAAACGAGAGCTATTTTTTTTACCCCTTTGCTAATTCAATTCCGAATTTCCGTCTGATTCGCCTTCTTGATCTTCCGGTGGTACTGTGAAGGGAAACGGCGATGGGAGATTGCAGATGGTGGTGAGGCGCGATGGTAAGCGGTTAGTGAGGCCGATTAGGGTTTCGGAGATCGAAACCCCAATCGGTGCTTCGTTCTTCTTCGTGTTTTGTTCTCGCCGTTTCCAATGTAATCTCCTTTGTTCTTGCTTTTTGTTATGTCCGGCAATCGCCCTCTTCTTCCCCCTTCACTGAATCTCCGATTAGTATTTATAGGCTTAGTTATTTAGGGTTTATTAGAATTGCTGTTACAGTTCAGATTAGCATAAATTAGGGATTTGGATTATAGTAATTGATTTAGTATATCCTGGATTTAATTGCAATTGATTTTGTTTTACTGTAAATTTGATTGTTTTAAATTAGACTCTGTTATAAATTTGTCCATACTGTAATAACGTTTTCTGGGCGGGATTGTATTAAAGACTCTATACAAATTATAGTTTTTAGATTGAAATCTGCAAAATATTTTCTAGGCTTGGACCCCAAGATGCAAGATTTGGTTTTAATTTTGAACAGTAAGTGTTACTGATAAAAACGTTGCGCAAATCCGCTTTCTAATTAATACATGGGCCCTGCGTGTGCTTTCATTTTAGCCCAGCAATATGGTTTCTCTTTTTTTTATTACAGCTAAAAAACAATTTTTCCAATTTAAATGGGCTTTGCATTAATCATTCCTATTTCAGCCCAACACATCCTTTTTTATTCAGTAAACTTTTTTTCCTACAACCATAAACTATTTTTTTAATCCAATTAGGCCCAACCGGCTCTTTTTCAAAATCCAACAAAAGGAAATTTTACTAAACAAATTATATAAAAAGTAATATTTAACAAAACAGTATTGTAACAAAAGATTTATCCGTAAAAAAATACATTACATTTTTTTTAAACAAAGAAGTTCATTTTTGTTTATTTATTTGTTTAAAATAATAATAATAAATAGTTTTCTTTTAATAATAATAAGACTTATTATTTTTTCTCAAAAACGTCAGATGGGCCAACTTAATGGGACTCGGCTATTGACAAGTACACCCCCTTTTTTACTAAACTTAACCTAAATAAGCTTGTGCAATTTAAACTTAATAATTATCACTCTTTTGAAATGATTTCCCATTTTCGAATTGTATGGGCCATTTGTCAACATGTTCCGCGAATAGGTTTATGAGTCTTTCTGATTTAGAAAGTCTCATTCTCCTGAATTAAAATACACCGTTAGTTTTGGATAAAGATGGGTCATCAGATACTGCAGTACTATCTTTAATTAAACATTTCTTCTATTTAAATCTTGAAATTATCATCGTAGGGATAGAACAAATTTGGAGTAAGACAACTTCAATTTAGGATCACCAAAGACACACATCTCGCCGATCTGATATCTAAACTGAATATTCTCCTACAATATCTAAAAAATTGAAGAGTTGTCAAACTCGAGTATCGTTCACCCTCGTTTGACAGCAAAGAAAAGATACATTTCACCAACTTTGAACTGAAGACAGATGGAAATTTAGAGGTTATGTGAAATATTTTTCGTTGTTATGCAACAAAGTGTCTGATTGAAATTGATGCGAAGATTGTAAGATCCGTCGAAGATATTATCAATATGTTACAACGTCTTAAACTACTTGTTTATAACGATATGTAATGTTAAATTTATGTTAGTGACTATCTATGTAAAGGGTGTTCTAATTTAATGTCAATTGTTGTGATTTCTAGATCTTGCTCATATTGTCTTTGTTTCTGTTTTGAAATATCATCGTCATTTCTGAATATGCATCTCCGAAATATACAAATAGACGTCCGAAGATGTAACTTCGAATTAAAATTAAGTATAATAGGAGTGATTCACTCGTTTGCGTTCAATTTTATAGAAAATAAATGTGTTAGAAGATATATCTTCAAACTCTAAAGACATTTTTAAATTTTATCAAGAGTTTGTGAGAAGGTATAGAGATGAGAAAATATATACCTAAAGTTTAAGGAATATTTTAGCCTTTGTAGCTGCATTGCAATTTAATTCCCCAAATTAAAAAATTTATTAAATTAAACTTTGAAATTAAAGATTGTCAGATAATTTAATTATTTTGTCATCCATTGAGATAGATTGAATTTGGACGTTCTTTAGAACAAAGCTTAAATTGAAGCATTTTTTAAATATTTTTGTTTAAGATTTTTGTTAATTTCTATTTTAAGATCTAAGTTCATCAAAATGGAATAGAATTAATTAATGGTTTAAATTTTGTGAGCATAAGTTGAAATTTTAGGGATTAAATAGTTTTTTTTAATGAAATTAAATTGTTACTATTTTAAGAAGCAAAATATGATAAGTCCATCAATTTATGTACTCCCTTCATCTCAGTGTTTTTTTTTTTTCTCTTATTTTTTTCAAATTATTTATCTTCTTAAAATTTCAATATAATATTTATTATTATTTTCCAATAACTTATTTTTATTTATTATATTTTAATTCATATAACTACTCTAATATTTATTATTAATAAGGTTATTTTAATAAATGAAATTTGTTTTAATTTTGAAATCAGTATAATTAATTATTATTTAAAAAAATGTGAAAATATTTAAAAGGACATATATTGCGACAGAGGGAATAATAAATTTTACACGTTGTTTTAGGGTCATAATTTTGATCTTCTGTTGATAAATATTTGACTTTTTTCTCTCCTAACATTACTGCTTTCCTATATCCGGACAATTAAAATTGTATTAAAGTCATCAATTTATATTTAATTACATCCCAAAATATACATCAAGTACACAATGCCATTGGTGTCTGAAGTGGAAGTAATATACTATATTTTTGGTAAACAAATTTCTTTTTGCATGCAATGCAATTGTAGAAAATAATAGTTTAAGATAAGATCACCAAAAATTGTGTAGATAATAATCATTCAAAGCAACTATGACGCCGCCTGGTAAACATTTTCTACCTAGTTAAACCGGAATCCTGTTGACAACAAATATGCACACGATTCTGAATCCTGTTGACAACCATTGTACTAAATGCAAATTTCACTAATCTATGCGTTATTAAAGACAACCATTGATATGTCTTTCAAACTTTATCTAATGATGCAAAAGAAAAAGTGCACAACCCAACAGAGCCATTCATCCAGAGAGAGTACATGATAAAAGACAACTACCTCTTGATGCAACATCATCCTGAAAAGATGTAAATAAAATAAAGACCAACTTTATACAACAACCGAGATAGCAGGAATCTCAGTGAGATGTGATTCTAGAAAAATGTCAATTAAAAAAGAAAATGGAAAGGATCATGTCAAGTTTATGGATCTCCAATGGGAGGACAACATACATCGAAGAAACAATGAACACATGCCATCCTTAAAAGCCAGCAGCCCTGGGTTCTTTAGTTTAGACATCTGTGGCAGAGGGATCGAATGATGGTAGGAGCCAGCCCTTGGTCTGGGCATGCTCCACATAGAAAGCAAATTTTTCCTTTGCATTTGGAATGTCCAGAGCCAGATCATCAAGACCATCCTTAATTCGGGTGAACCCTTTAGTCATCTGGTTGGTGGTGATAAGGCCTTCACTAAAGCATTCCTGCAGCAGATCTAGCAGCCTATCATTCTGTTTCTCCATGGCCATAACCAAAGCTTTCTTCACCACCTCGTGGTTAAAGAAAGGCATTCCCAGGTCACGGATACAATGGCATGCTTCCCCGACAACCCCGCCACTTTCGTACTCCTCCAAGAGCTTCATGATCTTGTCCTTAGCATCCTCCACAGCCCATCCAGTTCCCCCGCCCCAGCATCTCAATAGCCTTTCACCTGCATGGCGAGCAGAAACAAGTGTTCGAGCCATACGCACAGTTTCACTACCACTGCTTTTTGGTGGTAGCCTGCTGCTAATTTCATCCAAATTCAATGGGGCAAGCACATCATCAATCACAGCCCGAGCTAAGAAAAGTGCAAGCTCATTTGAAGCATCCAGTATATCCAGTGTTGTATCTTCTGCATTTTCCAGAAGCATGACAAAACCATTAACTATATCCTCCGTTGAGAATATCTCTATATGCAGTGCAGATAGTAGGACAGATGCCATCTCCTTTTCTCTGTTCTTTCGGTCCAAAGCAAGTGTTATTAGCCTCTTCAAAAATACTGAGTTATACTCAGGTGCTCCAAGATCTTCTAGACTTCGAATGAGTTCAGGAATGTCATCAGAGAGAAAGTACTCATGAATTATAGTCACAGCTTCCTTTTTGTACTTCCTCACCTTCTCATCTTCAACTTGAAATTCCCCATTTTCACCAGCTGGATTGGAAAAGGAGGCATCAAGCCATCCTTCAGAGATTGCCTTGGGGACAAATGACTGAAACAAGACTTTAGCGGATGGAATATCAAGAGCCAGATCATCTAGACCTTCTGCCAATCTAGAAAACCCTTTCACCATTTGGCTGGAACTAATCAGTCCTTCTTCTGCTGCTTCTTTTAATAGCTTCAACAGTAGAGGTTCTGACGAAGGAATCTCCATGGCAAGTACCAGAGCCTTCTTCACAACTTCGTGATGGAAGAACGCAACTCCCAACTCACGTATACACCTACAGGCTTCAGCTGTCTCACCGCTATCCACATATTCTCTAAGTAAATCAGCAATCTTTTTCTTCACTTCTTCAACAGTAACGTGAGTGCTACCACCCCATCGCCTTTCCACAAGTTCTGCATGGTGTGGAGCTGAGAGATAACTCTTCTCAGCAGTCTGGATTACCTGAACTCCCTTGGAAGATTCTGGAAGAGCCTTCCTTGCCCTGGCAAGAAATGCTGGAGGAAGAATGTCATCTACAACAGCACGTGCCAGGAATAAAGCAAGGATGTCAACTGCATCCAATATATCCACTGCAAGATCATCAGCAGATTCAATAAGCATAAAAAATCCATCCCTAATCTGGGTGGGGCTAATGACATCAGCATACAATGCTGAAAGCAGAACAGAAGCCATTTCTTTCTCCTTGTCATGCCTGTCCATTGCCATGGAAACAAGACGCTTAATGAAGTATGGATAATATTCACTTGAGCCGAGTTCTCTGAGGTCAGATGCTGCCAAATCTACATCCCCATTACTGAAGTATTCATCTATGAGAGATGCCACTGCTTTCTTGAAATCATCCAAGGGGTCAGTAACAGTAGTTCCAACCAGCTGATAGGGTTCCTATATATAGCAAAGGTATGCAAATAGGTGTATGTTATGTGCTTATTTATATAATTCATATGCATATAACAGAGAGAAGGAAAAATAATGCGCAACAGGTACAGAGCTAACAAGAAATAAATGAAAAGAAAAACAGACTACAACCTACACTGCTACAATAAGCATCATATCAAATTTTTAAGCAGCTAATATAACATGGTAAATGCTGCAAGAAACTGCCAACAAAACAACAAAAGTCGAAAAATACTTCACCTCTCCACTGTCATAATTTGGATCATTGCGGTCTATGTGAGAATCAATTTCTGTGTCCAGCAATTTTCCCCAGGTGCCCTTACCACCAGCACCATCTGCATCCAAAAGATAAACAATTGCCACATAAAGACCATTATAAAAAAAGACAACTAAAGAACATTGACAGCACGATCAACAATTGCCACATAAAGACCATTACAAAAAAAAAAAAAAAAAACTAAACAACATCATAAAAAAACAATTAAAGAACATTAACAGCATAATCAACAATTGTCGCATATAGACCATTATAAAAATAACAACTAAAGAACATCATAAAAAACAAATCAAGAACATTGACAGCACGAACACATATTGGCCCTGTATTGTGAAGAAAGGCTATGTTATCAATCTCGGATAGCGGCACGGCGCGACCCTCTCTAAAAATGGAACGGAATGGGAGCGGGAAGTAAAACGGCCGATATTTAAGTGACGCAGATACTAATATCGTTAATATTAATAAACACATAATTATCAAAAACTAAAATAAATTCATCAAAATTAATGAAGTATTCATAGTTAGAAATAAAAGTCAGAAGTCTTGAGTAAAACATATTTGCAAATGCCATTAAAATTCAATAAAATAACCTCAGTATCCTTAAAATTTTAAGGGTAATATCATTTACGACTGACGCGGCCGCTTTGACGCGGCATCTTTCTGAATCCAATCCCATTATTGCGCTCGTTTCAGCGAGTCACCCATATGTGACAGAACAGCGCGACCTGACACAGTTTTCTTGATTTTGCTGTTCCGTGCCGAGATAACGGCCAGAACGGCGAGTTTAATAACAGAGAAGAAAGGCAAGGAAGAAAATATCTAACTAAAAAGCTTAATATTCCTCCCCAGTTAATGAAAATTGGCAATATATATAGTCTTAATATTTTCCCTGGCAAAAAAAAAGGTCATTGGCGGCACGAGACAAGGAAACGTTGTATTCAAAAAAAATTTATCCCGGCCATCAACTTAGTCCCATAAAAGTTTTGAAGATCTTAACAAGTCACCTGTTCATCTAAATATGTATCTTAAATTCCCTCTCAAATGTCTTTCATCTAAAACCTTCTCAAGAAATCCAACAACCTAAATATATTTATTGTGTAATTCACTCAGCATAGAAATCTAATAGCAATTAAAATAGCATTAGATAATCCACAACAAAAACAATCAAATTTTATCCCACTATGTAGGGTGGGCTACATGGATCAAATTACGCCATAGATAATATATTCAAAATAAAATAGCCGAAGAACACACAACTCACCTTTCTTCGCCCGCCCATACTTCCCAGAGTGACACTTCCGCACATGCCTCACAGCAATCCCAGCAGTCTGAGCCTTCCCACCAGCAGGAGCTTTGATGTGATGATCAGCAAGCAACGACGACGGTGACTTGGGCGACGACGATAAAGCTGACAAACTCTCCGCATTTTCACTAGCAATTTTCAACATCTCCCTCTGACCTTCAGTCAGAAATCCCTCATTGGACGCCATTCACTCAATAACACAAATAACCTCACCTATCAATCACACTAATCCATCAATAACAGCATAAAACACCAAAACAAACGCTACAGTAACACAAAAAAACTTCAGTTCAATAACAGTTCAACTTCATGAAAAAATCAAAAAAAACTCCTCAATAACAAACGAATAAAACACAAGATTAATTAGAAACCGAATGCATAACATAACATCACATCACATCACACTAGTATCAGAAAAGGTAAATCAAATAGAATAAATAAAAAATACGAACCCGTGATTTCAAAATGCAAATCAGAACTTCTGGCTTGGCCCGGATCTCGAGCCAAGACAGTCCAAGAAACTGGATTATCCAAATCGGAGACTGCAACAGTCAGAAACAAAAGCGAGCGGGAGAAACCCTAACCGGTGGTGTGAGATAATCGGCGAGTGAGTGTTCGGGAAAGTGATGAATCGGTGGAAAGCGAGAAGAAGAGAGAAGAGAAATGGATGAGAAGAAAGGGAAAAAAATGGAAGGTTTATATAGGGGGCTGCGGTTACATGGACACGTCACCAATGGGGCGAGGTTTTCGGGTTTGGGCCTATTCTATCCTGCTACTAGGTGTACACGTGGCGTTGATGCTACAGGCTGAACCCGATCTATACTATGTGCCCTCTCTTTTGCTTTTTGTCATTGCTAATAAACATTCCTTGTAGTATATCTTTAACCTAGTAGTAGAATGTAATGTATCCCTATCCATTTCTAAATTGAAATTTAGAGTTGATTACCATAGGTTTAGTTCACATAAATAAGTAAGATTATGATTATAGTAAATTTAACCAATTTTAAACGGCCTTGAGTTTCTATTTGTGGTGGGTATTTTAAAATGTATTCGTGTGATGTTTTAGTGTTGATTTAACTTAAATATAAATTTCTCCATTTCTTTATTATCATTAAGATAATATCATTATAAATTTAACCTTTGTTTTACAATTCATTTCATGTTTTTGTAACATAATCGATTTTTTTTAATTGAGACACTATTGAAAATTTATGATATGAATTCAATTCATGTTTTGATTTCAAATTCAATTTTTCCCTTTCAATACGACAACAACATCAATACTATTAAATCTATTTTCGATTTTTATACATTTCGTTACCAAAACTCTAGGCCAAACATTTTTTTGTTCTGCAACTTTTCTCAAATCTAATTCGTCTTCTTCGGTTCTTTTTTAATAGATAATAAAAAAAATTGATTTTATATATTTTCTGATATTGGTGAATGCATGTCATTGTTTCAACCCGTGTCTTAATTTGTTTTATACATGTAATAGGTGACGAAAACTCTAGGTTAAGTATTCACGTTTCAGTTTTATCTAGAGCTCTATATTTATGCAAATCACCTTTTGAGATTGTGAATAAGAATTGTTTGTTTTTGATTAAGCATACTAAAGCATTGTTGTGTATTATACTATGATGATTTTTTGTTTTGAAAAACTATATTATATTTTGTTTCACTTTCATAATAATTTGATCTTATTCCCATGTGGTTCCCATGTGGTCTTGATTTGCAAAGAAAATAGGATGGATGAGCATCTAGAAGAAGTTTTTTTTTCCTAAATTATGTCGTCATCAACACTTCTAATTTGGTTAAAACGAGTAGTCTCAGAATGAGGTTATAATACTTGGTATAATTATTTGTGGCTCATTAAAGGAGAATTTTTTTTATTTGACATTGAAAAGGATCGTACAAATTGGGACAAGTTTATAGGAAATTGAGATTCATATCATTAATGTTGTTTAAATAATAACATTATTTTTTATGATTGTTGTTGAGATCTCTTTAGACTGTGATTTATTAAACAAATCCATCTCGGCTTCTTTATTTTGATTTTCTATGTATTGATATTGTTTGATTGTGAGGTCCATCATTTCTTAACCAAATATTGTTTGTCTTCTTTGGCTCTTCTTCAACTCTTAAGGCAAGTTATGAGTTTGTTGTTAGTTGATTTTGCTCTACTCCCTCAAATCTAATGGTAGATTCCAATTTTATACTTTTGAATTCCAAATATAATGATTAATGGTCTCATTGCTAGGTTATTTTTCATCGTTCATTTATTTTACTTTCAGAAATACATCAGAAATATATATAAAAATCACGACACCTGGCGATTAGGTGATTTTGATTAGTGAATGTTTGTTAAGTAATAGTGGATAACAGTGACTCTTTTTTGGTAGTTAGCGGGGTTTTTTTTGTTCCTGACATTTATTTTAACAGTTTCTGTTATTTAATTTTCTTTTCTAATTCTTTCTTTCACAATCACGATAAAATTTGTTTTGATCATTTGATGTAATGCATCATTATTTTTGCAATGTTGGCAGATAATGTAATTCTTCAAAGTTGACATTTGATGGTGTTGATATAACAAAAGATATATTAGTAAATGAGATGTGGGATGTCAACTTTATTATTTGTAATTCTTTATTGCATTCATAGTTTATATTGGATTTTGTTACAATATAACTATTTATTGAATAGGTGTCAATCTTAAGAGTTATGATATAAATTTGAGTTTGATTTTATTGCATCAAATTCATAAAGATAATAGATATTTTTTCCTTTTCTTAGGCTCCGTGTTATTTAATCGAGAGGGGTGGATTTTTATCAAAAAGAGGGGGAGAGGAGAGATTTTAATTACATATATGTTTGGGGTTAAAATATGAAAGGGGATAGGATATGGGGATTTTAATTACAAATATGTTGGTTCACAAGGAGAATTGAGTTATTTTAAAACTAATTTACTTTTTTATACTTGTAATTTACCATAAGACTCATGTATTTATTGTTCATAATTCGAACAAAAATTCATTAACAAAATATAAGTATTCAAAGAACATCATAACAAATCTTAGGCTTAATTACATATTTGGTCCCCCTATTTTCATTTTTTTAAGATTAGGTCCCCTATTTTAAAATATGATTTATTGATCTCTTCATTTCAATTTTGTCAGGATTTTAGTCTCTGATAAGTGCCTAAATTACGTAAAATATACAGGCACTTATTAACTTATTTTACGAGCAATTAATATAAAACTCCCAATTTATCAATGAAAATTGATAAAATACCTATTTTAACTTTTTACTTGCACATTTATCAAAAACGGGTGAAAAGGACTGAAAAATCACCAAACAACCCACAAAAACCTTTCCAAGACCATTTCCCTACAAGCAAGACTCGTTAGGCCAGGACCATGGGTGCGCTAAGCTAGTACATGAGAGAAAAGACTTCGAGGTTAAGTTATTTCATGGTGAATGAAGGGTTTGTGCGGGCGGTGTGCCTAGAAAGCCATAGTGGCTAGGACTAGTCGTAGGGTGAGCTGACATTGCATAACAGGGAAGAAAGCAGGCATGTTAGGCGAAGATGAGAGGTGAGCTTAGCAAGCCTACCTTTCTCAAACCTATAAATATGGGTGTTGGGTTCGATTTAAATAGAGATTCGGTGGATTCAAGGTAGTACAAAAAGATAGTGGGTTCGCCTTGATCTCAACATGAGAGAATAAAGAGAGGAAGATCGAAGGCAAAAGTGTTGCTCGAAGGACCGCTAAAGATAATGCTCAATCTCTTTCTTTTGGTATTTAACTATAAAGCTACGATGAGTAAGCATAACTAATTCTCTTTTGTTCAGGAAAGGTGTAGTTATGTTTATACTCGTGTATTATTTATAATCATGGTGGTTTATGTTATTCTAGTTAAGCTTTAATATTTATGACTCTTCATTCTTAATGCTTGTTTTGGATTAGCTACCTAAAACATGTTCTCATAGTATGACTTGACATACAAGAGATGTTGTTCATTACTATATCCAAGTCTAATTCTATTGGATTATAATGCCTAAAAATAAGGTTAGGTTAAACATCAGCAGAATAATGATAATTAATATCAATATCTTTATTCATTGTTGGAACTTAATATGGTTGTATTTAATAGAGCGAGACATCGTTTATTACATAATACAATTGATATCATGTTGTTGATGCCAAATATGAGTTATAATGAGAGAAACATGTGAGCATATTAATATCTAAGTAGACTAACATATTATTGACCAATGTTTATACATGAGGATAATGATGGCGAAATCTAATCCCCAACAAGTTTTCTCACTATTAACACCAAAATCTCAATTTATTTTATGTCATATTATTTTCCGTAACCAAAAAACTATAAACAACTCTCAATTAGAATTATAAAAATGGTTGAACGAGTCTTTAAAACACAACCAATCATTATGGATGTGATAATATTGCACTTGTAATTTTCACTATAACAAAATGATGTTGTTATCGAGGGCGAAAGTGACTTTTTAAAGATATTACGATAGTTTTTATCATTTTAAGTTTTCTGTTCATATTTGTGAATATTTGTATATTTTGTTTATAGTCACTAACTTACTAATAATATTAGCTATTTTTACATGTTTATGAAAGGAAAGGATCCTACATAACAACTTATGTTCGATTCGAAATCGAAAGAACAACACATAAGATTAGAAAGGAAAAGTTGAAATCCAGATCGCTAGATCTAGAAGAGTCTTATGTTTTAAAATAAGAAAACAGGGTTGACACCATGCCACAACAATAATCAAAAGAATAACAATAACAATAATGGAAACAATATTGGTGGCACACCACGCCACAAGAGTGTTGGGTCATCATGAGGGAGAAGAATTCACATTAGGTCAAATATTCACCTAAAGATCAAATACTCTTCCAAACAAGTGAGAGAGACACCACATATTCACCCAAAACTTTAAGGTGATAAGTGTATGGGTCCTCTAACTTATAAAGTACTCAACCTTCACTTTTCTAAGCAATGCGGGACTTAGAAATCACACTTTTTTTCTCAATAACTCACACTTGTTTCTTAATAATCTCCCCCTCAAGTGCGAGTATATCCACTATATTCCCCCTCAAGCAGAAGCTATTTTACCCACGTTGTGATCGGTGGATCTGGAACTGACTGTTT